TCCTATAGTGAAATACTCCTATAGTGAAACAACTTTCCCCATATAAACTAATGTAAAATAAGATAATGCGTTCCAAGACGGAAAAAAAGTGTAACTTGGATTTGTTATTTAATGATTTTCCTTTTCATATCTATGGTTATTTTTATTCTTTCGATTTTTATTCGGAGACATGTAAGTGTTATTCGTTATGCAAAATGTTTGTTATGCGAGGCGCTCGTTAAGCGAGGTTTTACTGTTAAACTTATTTTTTTAATATAATTCAAATCTATATTGAAACAAATAATATTAATAATAAATGTACAAAGTAACAACAAACGATATCTTTATGTCTCTAAAACTAAAATTTCTTCAAGTGCAAAATGCGTTTGATACCACTGGTCTAAATAATCCTAAAATGCATGGCTTTTAGGATTATTTAGACCAGTGGTATAAAACTATTTTTCATTTATAAAATTTAGTTTTTGAATATAAAGCAAATGTTCTTTGAAATTCATAATATTGTATAGTAAAGTCAGTGAAAAAAAGTGATTATAATATATTTTTTTAAATAATGAAAAGCAAATGTATTTTCCAATGAATAATCTTCAATTTAAAATATTATCATATACGGCGCTCGAACTGTTACGTATCTGTACCGAAACCTTATCCGAACCAAAATGGAGTGCATTTAAATATTATTTACATTTTATGCGATCCATGTCTGCGCCACGAAAAGAAACACCCAGCGACTACGACACGTGGTTAATAAAAAAAAATTGAGTCGAGATTCGTCTGAGAGAAGGCTCATGAATTGCGAGCGATACAATAAATTGATATTCAGAGTTTGATCGTAAACCGCGAAACCAATTTATCCTAAGGTATTGAAAAGGTTGAAAAGAAACGTTCGCATCGTACTAAACAAATGCATGAACTAGTCGGTTTTATTTTCTCTCTTTCCTTCAGTTTCTTTACTTCCTCGTTCAAAAGTACCGTACGAGCTTCCCATTATCAACAATGGTGTGGCGGCATTAAACTTTCTCATTATCGCAAACGGAAAACAAACGCTTCGGTGTTTTCCCATAATCCGGACAATACGTTTCCTAATAAACAATTAATATTTGGAGTAATTAAAAGAAAGTTTTCTGTGCACACATAAAAAAAAATCGATTCCGAAGAATCGGAAGAGTGAATTCTTGTGGGAACCGTCGCCTCGAGTAAAAGACGGCAGTTATTTGACGCTCCGATGAACGTAATTCCTGTAGCACATATTGAATTAAACTCATCCAACGTGAAATAATAAAATTTGTGAAAATTTTGTTCAAACCCCTGTAATTCGATTGTGGTACAATGTGTGTAAAATAAAATAATGGTAGAAATAAAATAAATAACGTATGTCGTTCGGCTTTAAAATCGATGCAAACGCGAGCTTTAATTGTTGAGGTAATATTCGGCTGTTATTTTTATTATGACCCGTGGGATACATTGATTTTAAATGGTTTTCAGCATCGGGATTTATACTCGTTGTAATCCTTTGCGGAGGTCATTTTATGCGATGAAGTTATTTCTCTATTGTGCATTGCGATGGGGGTTATCTAAATTGTGAAAGGAATTACGGTGCGTTCCTTCGGCTCGTTTCCTGTTTGATACTTAATTGTGGGAAAAAAAGATATGGGGGGAAGTTTAAATACGGCAAAATCCGTTTCTGGATGACTGACTCTAGACACAAGCTAATGCACCTTAGTGTTGTATACAACTACTACACTATTAAACATGCGGAGAGGCGACCAAGGTCGCATCCACCTTATTTCATTAGTTTGTAATTAAACTTGCTTTAATTATCTTTTCGTCTTGTTCTCACTAGGCTTACGGACCCCTAATATATTCTAATCAAATACGAAAGTCTTTCAGCCATGTCAACTTTCAAACTTATTTCCATACCCTAATAACAAAGAAACTCCTACAAGAAAAAAAAGTAGCCCACAAATTTGTCTCTAATGTTTTTTATTTCTTACTTCTTGTTTGATAAACTAAAGTAATTTACAAAAACAATACTTTAATTAAACAGAAACGCATTTTTTTTACAATTTTGTAAATTAATTGACACAATAACTTTTTTATTATTATTTACTCCCATATTTTTTTTTATATTTTTCATTTATTTAATTAACATATTACAACTAAACATGTACTAATATTTTAGTATCAGTTACATGCATTTTTTTGTAATAACATTCTGCATATTCAAATATTTAGTTAAGTTTGGTACTTTCTTAACATAAATCCACAAAATTACTTTATTTGTACTTTTTATTGCAATAATATTTTAATTTTATTATTAATCACTCCCATAAATATAATTGTCTAACTATTTCTTTGTTTATTTTCTATTTAACAAATAAACATTTAGTTACATTTTAGAGAACGTTCAAGAGATACTCAAACTAATATTTCTAATTTTACTATTAATTATATAATTATAACTATCTTTGCAATGTTTCTTAGATATGACAAAGCATAATTTTGATACATTTTAGATTGTAAAATAATCGTAAATAAAATCGTGTAAGTTATTAAATTATTTGCAAATGTCAAAATTTAGTTGACAAATTAATGTATGTTTATTAATAAAATAGTTTACAAACTTTGATAATTTGTTACAACGTTTATAAACAATTTATTAAATAATTGAGCAGAAATGTTAATAAATTGTACCCAATGGACCGTTCGTTATGTTTTATAGCAGTTATAAAGTTAAATTCCCAATTGAACATCGAACATGATGCCCTGCAGCAATTTGTACTAAAATTTGTGTATTAAGACATGTAACTTTAGAAAATCATCTTTCCTCTACCTGACCTCAATTCGATTTGCCTAGCAAAGCTAGCAAAATTTTAGTGTTTAATATAAATAATTGAATATAAAAAAATTAGTGTTTAATATAAGTATTTTATATCTATATCATAAGAACACTTAAGAGAAATTACATTTTTTAACGAGAACTTTATTAATACACTGAATTTCATTCATATATTGAATGGTTTCTAAAAAGTACCGGTAACCAATTCAAGAGCTATCACAAGACACGATGCTTAACTTTTAAAGCAAGTAGACTATTCAAGTTAATATTATTATTACATAATAAAAATATAGTTATGAAAAAAATAATTTATAGTAAATATTTCTTAGTTTTAAAGAATATTATCATTATAATATTTAAGCAAAATTTAAAATAAATTAATTCACTCTCAACACTTTCCCACGCCTTTCGAATAAAAGCTTCTACAAACATATTTTTTGCTACCATAAACAAGAAGGATTAATCTCCAAGCAGCGCGTTTCCGGTTTTAAGTAATAAAGATTAACATTTTAAAACTTCAAAAGTAAATAAATTTCTTTTACATAAATATTGTACATTACTAGAGTAAATATGTTAGATTTTTTTTATATTTATATGTGTTTTACATTAAACTAATTAGAAACTCATAAAATAAATAAAAAAAAACGATATTCGGAACTTCAAAACATTTCGTTTTTGGTACAATAAAATATTTCAATTTTAATTACGTACGTAATTGTAGTGCATATAATTTTGCGGAAATGAAATAGTATCGTGCAACGCTATAGGCAAAGGAAATTTAAAATTAATGTTTCATCCATATAGATTGGAATTTTAAAATTAAATGCAATTCCATAACGGTTATATTTTTTAATTTTGATTTGCACAAACGTTGATTTATATTTTTGTCGCTTCGTTTTAAAAAAAACTAAACAAATCAGATGTTTGCGTACAGATATTTGTTTATATTATTGAAACTATTTGCTTTTTCTATGTGCTCATACTTAACGGGTCGTAAATAACGGGCAACAAGTAGCTGAAGAAAAGGAAGCAAAGTGTGCCAAATAAATGTCAGAAACTGTGAAACGTTTACCACAATTACGCAATTGTCGTAGTTCCAGGTTTCTGGTACAGACATTTGTATAAGTTAATTAATAGCAAGAACTGATACTAATGTAATTATAAAATTGTTTTCAATTGGTATTTAGAGAAATTAGATGAAATGCTTTAATATTAATTAACGTTCTGTTACTTATGTAATGATATTATGCCGTGTTGAAAATTGGACTCTGGTGTTCTAATCCCCCTTTTGTCCATTATAAATTCCTCGCTACTGTCGTAGTACAATGTACATTAATTATCCCTTATGAAATCGTGAAATCCTTTCGCAAAGCACAAATATGTTATGCATTAGATAATATTTAACTTATTGCGTAATCAGACTGGCAGGACGTGTATGGATGTCGCAGGAAAATTTGGTAATTAGAAGATACAACAAACTGAAGTTGCAAGTATTTTTTATAATGTAATACTGTAAATAGGAAGGAAGTAGAACTGTTAGCTATGGTGTTTTATAATGTACTACGTTTTATGAAATATAAGTAACTTACATTACGGTATTGTAAAGATTTTAGTGGCATTCTAATTATGATAATGCGTATAAGTACTAGTTTGTATTGTATTAGTTAAAACATTTTGCTTCGACTTTGTTTTCTTAGATAACATTTTATTATCATCAAAGGGGCAATGTCCTGTCGTTTATAACTATTGTTTAATTACTCGAAATAGTAATTGTTAGTTTTCTAATTAACTTGAAAAAAAAATAGTAAATTACAACATTATTAATTTTATGAATAAATTAATATTACAATTTGTTATTAAAGTACTATTTATTAATATTTTAGTTTATATCAGTTTGGTACATAAAATATATAATTAATCAATAATAATATATTATATAATTATATATTCATATAAATAAAATCAATATTTATTGCTGGTTGATACAAAAGTTTATATAAGTAATAGTTAATATATGCATTCTTATGACATGTGTGTATAGTTGGTCACGGTCTTTATAGATGTCGAATTACATGTAATTTACTTTCAGAAATGTATTAAATATGTTAACCATACATTGAAAATGTTTGATTTATTTAATACAGTTATATTCATTTGTAAATAATTAGTTAATTAAAAGTTTTGTGATCCTAACAACCAAATTTTGTTGGTACTCAAATGCAGTCACATTTAGTGGTGGAATTATTTCTAAGTAATTTTTCGTTGGTCTGTATCTTCTGCATTCTTCTTCCACCATAGCAAAAGCCTAAAATATATATTTTTAAGTATTGTTAACATAGTAAACTTTTTATTCATTATAAAATGTTTTGTACTTACAGCTTCTCTAACACCTGGCTCATCATATCCTTGATCAATATATGGGAGAGCATCCACAATTACTTCTCCAGCTAATATTTGAATTTTTTCTGCCATTTAGATATCTATGTAATTCGTTATGATTTTTATCAATATTAACAATGAAATTGTCTAAAATACTGAAATTTTGAGGTTAGTGAGTTTTTGTTTATTGGTGTTGAGGATAGGTAACTTTTCAACCATTTCATAGGCAATTTTCATATCATCTCATGTAGGCAACCACATGACCACGATAATTAATGTCCAAAGTATGTTCATTTTAATATGCAAATAACTACTAATTATTGAAATTGTTAAAATATAAATAGAAAATAACAAATATTTCTTGTAAATTAATTACTTTCTTTATTGTTATCAATTGCAAAAAACACTGACTTATCTTTTGTACAAAACTTAAAGATGAAATGATGCACACAAATCTGGTCTTCTGTGATTCAGTCATTCAATGAATTTATATATTCACGGAACAATACAAAAAATTAAAATAATCTAATGTGAGAACTTAATTATTTCTTGTCGGTGGCAATGTTTCTCAACATTCTATTACCAGCAATGAACGTAAATCCGCCGATGTAAACCAACCACACACAAGTGGAGAACATGTTTCCACACAGCCAGAACCAAGTGTAGAGTGCGAGAATACCGGCATAACCCAAATGGAATGGAACGGAATAAATATTGAAGTAGTTGAAAGGCAATCCTATCTTCATCCAGATGATCAAGAGAAGTAACAGGGGACTGGCCGCTGCAACCGTGAAGAACATTGAAACCGCCTGCGGTGGGCGTTTCTCAGCCACTCTAAACATATGTTCTATTTCGGGTTTCACATCATGAGTTGGTACATTGGGACCTTCGGTGGTCGTTAGCTTAACATCAATACTACCCAAATCCCATCTCAGACCATTGCTCACGATAGAATCACCAAGAATCAATTCCATGTTGTAATTGCCGGTGTACGTCAGTTCGTTGGCAAGATTCACATTGATTTTGTATAACTGAGAATTATCCTTTTCGGCAATGAAAATGATTTCCTTCTTTCCTTCATACAAACGGAGGTATGCTTGATGGACGCTGCGCGGCAAACTAAATTTGACAATAAGATTCTGATTGGAATCCCCTTGCAAATTGACTTTGTTCGGTTGTTGGATTTTGTTCATCTTTGGTGCCGAAGATCCATCGGAATCCCCTAAGCCAATTTCCAAAGACTGCAACTTAATTGGACCCAAAACCCTGGCGACGATACTTGACGTATGAGATCCAGCAGTCAACGAAATCTTGTATTGACCCGGCTCCAGTTTCAATGGCAAAACATACTCAGTTGGTGCAGATCCAGGTGTTAAAGGTTGTTTGGAGAGAACGACAACATCGTCAGCTAATCTAGTAGCAGATAAAGCAACTACTGGGCTTGGTGCTTGTTTCAGTGGCTTTCCAAGCAAGTTTGAAACTTTAACAATCAAATCTGGTTTATCAAGGGTAACTTGGCTGGATTTAGCCAAAGTGATACTGACTGGAGAGACAGAGCTTTCTGATAAAGCCATTGAAGCTTCAATAAGAGCTAATGCTCCTTTGGCTGTTTGCACACTCTTTCTGGTTAATAAGTATGCAGCAAATTTATCAGCTTGATTTTGGCTCAAAGCCTTTGCATCTTTCAATTTGAATAATCCAGTTAACAGGAGACCAGTAGTGCTCAAACCACCTTCCCATTGCAACATTTTACCATCAACCTCATCAGCTTGAACAACAACATCTTCTACTCTGTCCATGGCAAATTTACCATGGTTTCCTAACATGGCAGCAGCATGCAGTCCATTTCCCAAGCTCAACAAGCTATCATCTTCTTTGAGTTTTTGCTGCAGCACTTGAGCAACCTTAGCAGGGTTTGGAATTTGCTGACCCAACAATTGCAATCCCTCAATTCCATATCTGACATCAGAAGTACAGGTTGGTTTCTCTAAAGCTTTTTTAAATTTCTGAAAAAAAATCAATAATACATGCATTTAATATTCATAAATATTTGAAAAATAATATTATAATGTATATTTACATTTGTAATCTCAGGATTTTCCAATTTTCCAACACACTTGAGTATTTTCCAAGCAGCTAAAGCATGGAATGTTGACTCTACTGATGTTTCAGGCTTGTACTGGTATTCTAAATGGGCACAACTGTCCATTATAAGCACTTTAACTAAAGGTTCTTTCATGATATCAAATCCTTTTGCAGCATAATATACGCTATCTAAGTCATCCGGTTGCAGTTTGATGAAACCAGAAGTTATGGCCTGGAGCAGTCTTTGTTTATCTTTGCCAGAGATATCAATAATTCCAGAAACACTGGCAGAGGCTGCCACAGCCAGTGCCAACAAAGTAAGGCACTCTGTAAACAAACAAAAATCGAGGATAGAGATTTAATTATAGACGAAAGTTGGACAATCATTATTATTGTTAATGCCACTTACTTAACATGTTTGTTTGAAATTAATAGCCTTTCGATACTAAACGTAGTGATGCCGGCCAAAAAACTCACATTTGACACGTACTTGCTGATGATTCCTTGACAGTGTACCAATGT